CTTTCATTTAATGTTTCGATTTCTCATCGTTCTGTACGGTTGCTTTCTTTCGTATCTATTAGGGTTACTTACAGCCCAATTTTGTTTGGATGGCTCTTTTTTTGTACTGTAGTTTCCTTTCCAAGTTTGGACCAACCCTTTTCATTCTTTGGTGCTTGTATGAGCACGCAGGGCTAGAAACACTTTGCTGACAACACCAGGGCTCGGTGAATTTGCTCTGTTGTCTTACCTTGGGTGAAAACTCATATGCTTATTGTTCATCAAGGGCTATGGAAAGAAAATCTGCTAAAATTAAATGTAGTATTTACATGATAATGGGATACACAAAGATTTGCTGCTCCTATAGGAACACACACAGAACTTTGATGCTATTTTAGAGTCTTTCCTTGAAACTATGAAACGATGAAGCTATGAAATTCTCTTGAAGTTTTACACTTGCTCTGAAGAAACCTTCAGAAACTACTACTCGTGTGGTTGTCTGTGTGCTTGAGCCTCTTTTACGCTAGAAAACAGGCTGTGGATAGATTTACTTCCGAGCGCGTATCCACGTTTATAACGCAAAGAAATTTTAAGTGGCCTAAAGATTTCTATGGAGAAGACCATGAGCATGATATTCCCCTCCATGCTGCGGTGGAGGATCTCCTTGTGCGTTGCCTTTGGAGCTGGCAGAGCTGGGCTGATGCCTGAGGTTTGTGCCAACAGCTCAGAAGGCATTTACAAGTATGACCTGCTCTCTGCAAACGTCAATCTGCATTTTGCTCACTAGTCAAGACTGCTAAGGGATCTCTCTTCTCTCTTTCTGTCTCATTTGTTTGATTTTACCCAGGAGCTCCGACTCCGAAGAGGCTTTTGAGACCCCCGAGTCCACGACACCAGTCAAGGCGCCACCTTCACCCCCACAAGCAGCCCCCGAGGCGGCGGCAGCAGCGGTGGGGGGCGAACGAGCCCAGCAAAGAATTTTTTTATTTCCTGATCGGTAGAACTTCATCCCCTTTTCCCAGCGTTTTAGTGGTTTTACAGAGTCAGATGACTAGAGGAAGGAGGTATGAGGTACTTGGGTTAGCATCGCTAACAATGACAATTAGTAAAATGTTATTTTCCAGTGTACTGAATTCTGAAATAGGGGGTGGAAAAAAAAAGCTCTTGGATTGTGAATGGAATTACTAATATTAATGTCGTGATACTATATAGGAGAAACACAGCACCGTATGTGGATGTGTGTGCAATACACCTGTATAAAAATTGGAACATACTGACAAAGTAACCTGAGGAATGGAATAAGGCACACTAAAAAGTGCTGTGCTAGCAAGGAGCCTAAAATAACTTTGAGTTGTCAGATAACAACTCTATGGTTTAAGATAACATTCCCCAGTAGACATTGTTTTTTTTCCCTCTCTCGGAGAGGTGAGATAGCTTGACCACCTAGGGAAATTCCATAAAGGTACCTTTACTGTCAGCAGATTGATGCTCATTTGTGTTTCATTTGGAAGGATGTACAGCACTGCCATGCGGTGTTATAAAGCTTCCACTTTAGAAGTGGTTGGGCCTAGCAGTGGGTAAAGCAAAATCCATGGGTGGTAAATACATCATACTGGCTTTTGAACTTTAATATCGATATTTGGGGAAGTGACAAATATGTAATTCTTGGGACCTAGGCGTTAAGGAACAGTCTGAGATCACTATTTTTAGCTTCTTATAAAATCATATTATAAAGATGTCTAACAAACTGATTCCACAAAATAAAGTAGAAGAAATATGACGTTTTTTTCCTTTCTGCTGTTACAGATCCCTCTTCTTTTTAGCAAACAATGTTCCTCATCATCTTTTCTATTTTTTGGTCTTAAATTCTGTGATTAGAAAATAATTTTAGTGCTAAGAGAACAAAAGAATGGATATGATAAACAGGATTGAAGTGTGGTTTTAATTACTGCAGTAGATTATCTTCAAACCTTTGATCACACATGTGCTTCCCTGACACATGTGAATCTTTTCTGTCTATATCCCAAACCTCCCCCTCCTTTCATATACTCCTGGAGAGGAAACTGAATGTATCTATTAATAACCAGTGTGAACTGTACTATAATAAAGGCCATTTGATGTATTTGTTCTGCAGAGATTAAAACGTTTCATTTGCAGATAGAACTTGTCCATGGGAGGCAAGTTACTGCAAAATAATAAAGCTATGTTCAGCATTCCAAAAGTATGCAAAATGCAGGGGAATTTTTGTCAGGAAGATGCATAATGCAGAAAGGTTTCAAACGTAGGAGGGCAACACAAAGCACTTGTTTCTGAAATCTTTTAGAAGATACTGGTGTTTCTAGGGTCGCAACTTAGGTGTTCGCAGTTTTCTTCAGAAATGTGAACAGTTGAATATTTTGTACTTTAAAAAACACCCGAGAAACTGTTACATTATAGGTTATGCAAGTAGCTGCATACCAAGAAAATGAGTACCTTGCTTGCGAGCTTATAGGCCAAAGCAGCAGAGTTCTTCATTGGCACCAAACCCCTAAATAACCAGGTTTCTATAAAAGAGGCAAAGGAATATGGGGAGCTGGAGCACCTGGTGCCCTGGTTTACCAGCCACATGGCTTTGGCCTCTGAACGAGGCTGGTGATGGAGCTTGTGCTTGGGTGGAAGGAGGAGGATTATTGCATCTATGTCTGATAGTAGCTGCTTATGCCGACGGTTGCAGTTATGCTGCATGATATCGTTAGCACCACAGCTGGGCCAAAAGGAGAGCTTTTAATTGGCAGGACTTCAGTGCTCGCTTGGTGAGTACGATGAAGGCGGAATGTCGCGGACGCCGCCATGGGTTCGCGCCAGCTCCTGGCGCTGCGAAACCTGCTGCGGGGCTGCAGGCCAGGAGCAGCCACCCGCTGTGCCGAGCGGGTCCGGGGAGCTGGGACGAGGAGACGGGAAGGAGTCCGGAGGAACAGGGGAGCAACGGAGCAGCTAGGGAAGCTCCTCTGAGCCTGACAAGGTGTCACTAAGGAGCCCTTCCACCCCTCGTTTGCTGTGGAGAACATGGATGCTGCTGCCTCAAGTGGCTTTGAGGATACTTCATGTTTAAAAATTTTGTGACTCTACAGCTCTGAACTACGGTTTGAGGCAGTTTGGTGGAGCCCACATGCTCTCCACACACACAGTCCCCAGCGCCTGCTGGTCCTGTGCAGGTGGGATGAACACGCAGGAGGTCGCAGCCCCCCAGCCTGTCCCATTGCTGCTTGTGGCAGCGGCCGCTTCTCCTTTGCACCAAGCATCTGAGCACCAGACATTTCTCCAAGCCCAGGCGAGCTCCCAAATTCCCTGTTTCCGGCCACAAATGCTTGTCTCAGCAGCAGCTTCTATTCCTTTCCCCTTTGCTTCCCCAATTGATTGATTACATAAAGTTACATGTGTAAAGGAGCATAAAAAAATCTAGTCTCCTCTCTATATGCAGTCACTATGTGCCCCGCCAGTCAAGATATGAGATTGGAGTCAAGGTATTGGATTCCTTCCTCTCTCTAGGGATTTGAAGTCAGGCTTACCAGTAGAGGTACAATGACACAGACAAAACTGATTTTTTTAGCATGGAAAACACTCCTCTTCATTGCTTTCTACTGTGAAATCTAACACAGTAACGTATATACATATATATATATATATACAGCATTTTCTCTCAGAATGAATGGCAAAGGAATTTCTATAAAAATTTAAAATATAGTACTACTAATTGATTTCATTACTTCAAAGACTTTTTATAACAAGAAGGAATGTGAAATAAAGTAACTGCATTTCAAAACGTGGGATTTTAGATGATTCCAATTACTATTTATGCTCTAGGCCAAGTGTACTTGTCATTAACACTGCACCAAGGTCCGTTATAATGGAGTGTGCTTGTGTGTGTCTGTATGTCATCCTTATCTTTCAAGGGTATTTTTTTTTTGCTCTTAGCTTACATTAGCTTCTTCTTTTTATTTGCTTTATGAAGGTTGGTTAAGTTTTATTTCTAAACCTTTCGACATAGTTTTCCTTTTTGTTTACAAGTCCACAGTGTTAAGGCCTTCTATTTTCAGCCTTTTGTTTTTCTCGCCCTATTTTAGTTATGTCAACAAATGAAATAAATGCTTAACGGTCTTAGCACATAGTGCAATTCAGCCATAAAATGTCATAACTGAAAGGGAAAAATATGTTAAAATAAATAAATTCCTTTATGTGTTTCAACTCCTTAATATATTTTCATTTTTAGAAAGAAATAGCCAAGATTTAGTTCCAGTAAGCTAGGTGCTGGTGCTGATGTTTTATTTTCATCCATCTGAAAATATCTTTAGAACAGATCTAGAATTATTTCCAAATATTTTTGGAATTTCTTTTGTGAATACATTTCAGAAGAGTGCACTATTTGCACTATGGTACGGGATGTCCCAAAGTGCTTCATCCTCGGTCCTTCACAGTATTGGTACCTTAGTGTTCAGAGCGGAAGGAATGCAGGTGCAGAAAAAACACTGCTGGTAAGCAGGAGAAAAGCAAAATGTGGCACTACATCAAAATAAAACAGCTTCTGCCCATGCTTTAGCTACCTCTATAGCTTCTTCTGCAAGTGGCTTGCTTCTGCTCATGGGATTCTTCATCAGACTGCAGGACACTGAAGCTTCACTGTCATGATCTGAAGTGTTATCAAAATCCGTGTGATTTATAAGGTACAACAAAAGCAGGAGTTAACATCTTGGTAATTGCCCGGAAAAATAAATTAGTGGTTCTTTTGATGATACCAAGAGTAGAAATTTATTTTATTAACACAAAATGTCATTTTTTATAATAGCTCTCTAGCATCCTTTTGTTTGTGCTATAATAGACGACAGTGCCGAGCATTATGTAGTTCATCCAGCTTGGAATTCTCACTATTGTGATGATAAAAGTCTGGGTTTTATTTCCTTCATGCCTGATCCAGACAAACCTTACCAAAAATCATAGAGTTTTCCTTATGGAAGAATCAGAATCTGAGCCTTCATTTTTAAGGAATAAAATGGGATTTTTTCAGGGATCACCTGCGCTTTATGACAATATAACTTCACCTGCTGTAGCTCATGAATCAGTTGTCCATAGTATGATTTATAGTATCTGATGTCTACCTGGGGGCATATGCTACCAGTATAATTTGTTGTGGCCTGTCAGCACATTGTTATTAGCCAATGCAAGGCATAAACTGTATTTCTAGGGCCTCTTCTGAGGGAAAATCGTGCCTTAATTGGTGTAGATACATTTGTACTGTAGCATGTTCCTTGTGATCAAACTGCATTTTAATGAAACACTGTAATCAATAATCCTGCTTTGCTTGATTCCATAATGTGAAAGGATAAATTGCACTGCTGCCTGGGTCGGCCTTCTATGACAGGAAGGAACAGTCTTAAAATCTCTTTGTAGTCATAAAGCTCTGCTGTTTTGCGGTAGCGGGTACCATTCATGTTCTCCTCTGCTTTTCCACTGTTCATAGCATGGAGTCAGTGTCATGCCAGCAGAGTACAATAGCAGCATTTCATTTCTACCAAAAGCCATGTTTTCTCGTACAGTTTCACATATTGTTTCGCCAAGAAGCAATAGAAATATCGCAGCAGTGACTGAAGCTGTCCTATTCAGAAAGCTATGCTATAAGGAGAGGCTTTGGAAAGGAGGTAGTTATGAAATGAGCAATTAAGTAAGATTAAAGTGCTGCCTTACATGTGGAGCACACAGAATTTGAATACTGTTTTAAATAGCTGGAAAACATTGTGCAGACTCTGCTTCTGTGATGTACTCCTAACCCCAGCTCTGCTGCTTCCGTGTCTTTGAGATTCCGAGTTCTGCAGGGCATTAACTCTTAATTTTTTTTACATACATGTTGTGCTGACTTTGAAAGAGGAGACCTCAATCCTCCTGAGGCCTTTGGCACTTGCTGTAATGAAAACAACAAATGATTTTTCTGAAGACTTCTTGTTCAGATCCCCCTTTTATTTCATGTTGACCTAGATTTGTACTCTGACGCATTAGAGAGACGCCAGTGTTTATTTTAATGTGTTCCACCTAAGTGTCTTCCGTTCTCTTTTGGTGTAAAATATACAAATTACTTCCTTTAACAGAAATCTGATGTGACTGAGTAAACTTTACAGTCTTAAAAGAGAGACTGTAGCTGATATTTCTTTGAAAATCTCTGGAAATGCTTGGTGTCACTTTAAGGTGCTTCTTGGGGGAAAGGTATCTGCTTTTGGCAAAGATTTCTTTATGTTCATAAATAATAATTATTGTAATCCCTGTGCAGACATGTAACTTCCTAAGAAACAAAAAACATTATTTCTTCTGATCTTAATCCATTCATAGCTTCTGACTAAAAGTAATGTTTAATTTTCTGTCCTGTCTTGATGAAAAACAGTAATGAATGTAATGGGACAAAAGGGAAATTAATTTCCAAAATGTGTCAGGATTAAAATGAAGAAAATGTGTAGAAATTTCCTTGAACTGATTTAAGGATAAGTAAAGCATTCATTTTTCATTTGACTATATTTTTCTGTATAGTTGCATAATACAAGCAGTCACAGCATGAAAAGCCCAAAATTGCTTCAAGAGGGAATACTGCAGCATTTGCTGCTGTGCTCATCAGGGAGAGCTAAGCTGCTAGGTACAGGCCAGTCACATCTTATAATAGTGTGTGTTATGTCTGGAAAACTGGAGGGATTTCCCAGCTCTCAGATTCCCTGGTTAGGGCACGTATAGCGCTGGTGAAGATGGCTGTCCGTTACATAGCACTATATATATGTATAATCTTTTATATATGTTTATATAGAGATTTATTACATGTATTCTTCTATTTTGTTAGATGCAGTTATATTCCAAGTGGAGAGATCTTTATAATCCTTCCATCCAATAAGCAAATCTTTAATTCTAAAGCAAAGATTTTTGGTTGATGAGTTTTAGCCTATAAATCTGCATATAAAATTCTATTATCACCATTGAACTAAAATTGCGCTTTGAGAAATGTGTTTTAAATTATCTCTAGTTTCTAGGGGTCTTTCTTATGGTAGACTTACAATTGAGAATATTTGTACAGTTGTCTAATTGACTAATTTTCTTATCTTTACCGTAATTTGTTTCATATGAAATGCTCAGTGTTCCTTGGTAAAAAATGCCTCATTATGAACTTGGAATTAGGAGGTCAAAGTGGAATGTATGGACTGCTTGGGGCAGAAAAAAGAGCAGCATTATGGGCTGTGGAAAGGAAGTCACGTTCCATAGTTTTTTCCTCTAGGAAACTAGTAAAAATAACATATGAGAAGCAAAACTTACAGATCAACATATGATAGCTGAAGTACCAGCCAGTTCACAGGCAATTTACTGCAGAAGAGCTGTAATAATTCAGTGAACTGTTTATGATATTGTACAGTGTGAGTGATGATTCTGGACTAGGTATTGCAAATATTGATTCAATTTGTATGTCCTTTAATTGTTTCTTTGTCCATTTGTATTATTTGAAACCTTTGCTTTTTAAATTATTATTAGATTATGATAAAATGTTCTAAGCCCTCATTTTTAAGACATTTATAATTCACCAGGTGTTCTGTTCATTCCTGCAGGATTGTGTTCGGATATCGTGTCCGTAACTGATGTGCCACACAGTGAATCGGTTGAAGAAGGCCCTTTCCATCCCCCCTCCCATTCTTTTTCCACTGTCTTCGATGAGGACAAGCCAATAGCCAGCAGTGGAACTTACAACTTGGACTTTGATAACATTGAGTTGGTCGATTCTTTCCATGCCTTAGGACCGAGTTCTCCAGACACCAAGAATCGTGACCCCAAAGCGAATGTACGAAGAAAGTCTACCGATTCCGTCCCGGTTTCCAGATCTACGTTATCTCGGTCTCTTAGCTTGCAAGCTAGTGATTTTGATGGGGCGTCTTACCTTGGCAATAACGAGACACTGACACCGGCAGCAGATGTGTACAGCACTGGTTCAAGCAGTGCTTCTAGTACCCTTAAGAGGACAAAGAAACCCAGGCCAGCTTCCTTGAAAAAGAAGCCGTCGGCAAAAAAGCCTCTGGAAGCTCCACCGGTGAAGGAAGCACCCCAGGACCTGTCTGATCTGAGCCAAGCAGATTCTGCCCCAGATGTGGAAAAAGCAGTATCGGAAACAAAGGTTGACTCCGTAAAACCTGAATGTACCGAACCTTCTAAAATCTCTGCTGAGAAGCAGGAGGCCCCAGCTGTGCCTGAAGGATCCCAGGCTTCGGATCCAGACAGTTTTGAAGGGATTAGTGCGTTTAGCGCCGGAGGTGGCAAAGTGCAAAACTCACCCCCTGGCACTAAGAAAACGCTACCTCTTACAACGGCACCCGAGGCTGTGGAGGTGACTCCGCCTGACACTGGAGGACAAGAAGACCCTCCAGTGAAAGGGGCAGCGGTGAGGCTCGAATTTGATTATTCTGAAGAAAAGAGCACCAGCGAAGACCAGCAAGAGAGCGCTCCTCCTCCCAAAAAAGTAGGGAAAAAGCCTGGTGCCAAAATGCCGCTACGGAGGCCAAAGACTAAAAAGCCAGTGGAGAAACTTGACAATGCTCCGACTACACCGACCCAGCCGCCTGCTGATCCAAACGACATCCCGATCACAAAAGGCTCCTATACTTTTGATATTGACAAGTGGGATGATCCCAATTTTAACCCATTCTCTTCTAGTACAAAAATGCAAGAATCTCCCAAACTGCCTCAACAGACCTACAGTTTTGAGCCAGACATGTGTGAGGACTCTATTGACCCCTTTAAGTCTTCTTCTAAGATAGCCAACTCACCTTCCAAATCTCCAGCCTCTTTTGAGATACCTGCCAGTGCCAATGAGACAAACGGAACCGAAGGAGAAAACTTAAATAAACCCGCAAAAAAGAAGAAGACGCCATTAAAGACGTAAGTTGAAGAGCACAGATGTTTCTGGATTGGGAGCACATCCCTATAGTTACACCATTTTTATGTTTGAATAGATGTAGGAACATGCTATTAAGTGCCATTAACTGGACTACTGGACTCGTGTCTGGGGTCTGTACATGCTCAATGTATCATCACAATAGCTTGATGTTTCCAGTCCAGATGGGGAATCCAGAGAGATGGGAAGCTGAATTAGGTCCGTGGAATAGCAGCAAAGTTTTTGAAGTTTGGGATCCAGTGTAGCTTTGGATGGTATCAGATTTGAATCTTACCAATGTTTTGCCATTTTTTTGTACCTTCTTCTTGGATATGTGATACCATTTGAGCTGGCAGAAGTATTTATGCAAGTAGAGATTGCTACGTGAATTACAGTTTTTGAGAGGGGAGCATGGAGCAGGAAGGCAAAGAGTAATTGCCATTGAATCCAGTGGGAAGATGGTTTTGTGCAGTGACTTACAGTATTTAAAAGAAAATAAACTGCAGTAAACTGCAGTTACAGTATTCTACAAAGTGAAATAATGATTTCATTTTTTTTCTTTTAATACGAGATTATGCCTTTCATATGGTTTCTGTTCTGTGAAATAGTGTGCACATCTGCTAAGGGTAAAAATCTCCTAAGCTGCTACATCTTAGGCAAATATCCAGATTTTAGACAGATTTGACAAACTTTAGGAGAATTCTAGCTGCTGTATTTAGATATTTGGTAGTTAAACTCAAGGGTTTCTTTTATTTGTTCCATAGTCAACTTGCTCGTGTACATGTGATATTATCCTTTCAACCATAGGTTTTTTTGAGTTGGTAATAAGAAAGTTTGTATCCCATTTATCTGAAATCTCTCTCGTGTTTCTTTAAGAAAATCTCTCTCTGCATGTCCCTTATGATTTAAATGTGGTATCTAACTAACTAAATTGTGACTAAAAATTGACAAAAAATAGCAATTTGAAGATAAGTTACTGCAAAGCAGTGCAAAAACTGACCTCCCTTATGGAGTGAGAGATTGTTCAGCTGTTTTCTGAGTAGTCTGCTATCCTCCGGGCTTCTAAATCAAGTCCCTTGCCAGATTTGAAGTAGTTTGTGACCCGTTTTTTAGGTTATTTTTTGAGGGAAGAGCTTAGGGGTTTGGGTTTTTTTTTTTCTCCAACCCTCCCTTTTTTTTTCTGATGGCACTTCATTTTGAGATATGCCTGAAGTTTGGAGGATATTAAAGAAGGAAATGAAATACGTGCTAAGCTGAGACATTTTTTTCTGTGCCTGTAGTCCATCTAGTTTGGTCCAAACCCAGAAGACTAAAAGTCTGACAGAGAGACACAATCTGGATTTCACCTGGGAAGACTGAGGGAGAAGGGAGAATTTAATATCATCAGAGACTGAGATCTGATATTTACAGCCTTCGGGAATCTCCTTGACTCTTCCAGTAGCTGCATTTGAGTGGTCTGCATAAGCCCATTGGCTCTGTCCATTGGTTATGAATATAAGAATTAGTTGCACAGTTAATAATTTGGGGGCAACATGAATTTTCAAAGGGTTAAGTTTGCAAAAGTTAAGTTTCCCTTTCTTTGGAAAAACTCGTAACAGGAAGGCCCTGTCCTACAATCTGAATTCACTGCTGGTCTTTATCATGCAGAAGTTAAACACTCTGAAGCAGTAGAGCTTACAATTTCTTGTATCAGGGGATTTACAGGAATTCTCTGCCCCCGCACGGGACTGCTTTCACTATATTATGTTTTTTATCTCCTTGCTGCAGCTCCATAACCTACTTTTGCAAGTGGTTTTCTCACAAAGAAGAGTCTACATATTAATATACATCACTGCCTGGAGCCATAGCACTTTCTCCAAGAAAATTAGCTCCGGGCTCGTTGGGAGATATCACGGGAAGCAGTGGCAGTGTTTGCATCTCTATTCTCTCCTCTCACCAGAAAGGGTCCCTCACGTGACTTCTCCGTGAGGCCCAGTGCCCAGGGAGGGACACAGCCTCACAGTGCTCCTTGTGGAGACAGGAGAGCAAAACCAGTACAAAATACCTCAACTCTGAGAGGCAGGAGCATATCAGCATTAGGAGCTGATGCTATAGTGTCTCAGGACTTCTAAAAGTCCTGATTACTGGATAATTTTGCAAAGCTTAACTAATGGATAATTTTGCAACACCAAAGGTGTTTGTTAGCACTGTTGAGGGACACAATAAAGTCCTGTATGAGGACTTTCCAAGAGGAAAGTTGGACAGGGATTTCTGTATTGGCCCTATGGGGGGTGAGGTGTGAGCTCAAGCCACCACTAGGCTTGTACTGGTTCAAGTCTGTGCCATAGATTGCCTTGTACATGTTAAAATCAATGAAAAAAAATATATTATTCTTTAATAAAACAAGAAGCATTGCAAGAATTGACCTTTGTAGGAAAAGGTGCAATTTTAGAATCGTTGTCAGCTTGATGGAAGTTACTGTGCCTAAATGCCAAACTGGTCTGCAGTAGAATTTGCTCTACTGCTCCTGAATCTGATGGCCCCTCAGCACCTGCCTGCAGGAATAGGTGGCTTGTGTAGACGTTAGGCTCTGTATTGTTGGATGTTGGGAGGTGTTTAGGTAGGAAGTGTTGGACTGTGTTTAGGAATGGGAGATGTCAGCCTTCCGGAGCAGCCTGCATGAAGACCTGCCAAGCTGAGAAGCACATAAGAACTTTGCTAACCCCCAGTTACTCGGCAAGGTTTGCTTCTCTTTTCAGGGCAATCAATTAGGTCTGTCAGAACACAAATTAGATTTCACCAAGAGCCAAAGTTTATGAAGATTTAGAGAAATGTCATTCTCTTTCTTGGCTTAGGTAAACAATGTGAAACACTCAGTCAAGTAGCTTTTTCTGTGCTATTTTAACAGATTAGCAGACATAAAAGAAGCCTTGTGTAAGTGCTTTTTCCTTAAGCTTAACTGCCACTCAGGAACACTTTCTACATCCCATAGAATAGCAAATGCTGTGTTTTGAGAAAAAAAATAAAAAAAGCAAAGCAGGTGGCTACCATCAGATAAGGCAAGCACATTCGGTATATTCATAGGAATTTAACTCAGCTTTGAAAGATGAGTTTTGCAAGATGAAAGCATGTCAAAAGTGCAACCCTGGATTTAAAAATATTGGAGCATTTGAGAATGATTTTTCCCCATCTTCTCCACAACAAGAAAGTAGGGATTAAGATTACACAGGTAGAAAATATGCATGATCAGATTGCTATAACACATTAACAGAGTATTTGTAGGTTTATCCTTTTTGTCAGTTCCTTCTGTCTGTCTCTCTTTTCTTTGTCTTCTTTGTCTTAGGATGGTAGAAGATGTGATGTCTGTATGTTCTCTGTTGTAAGTAATTCTAAGCTAACATTTCAAATTTCTTCTTTGATTTATGGGCTTTTTAGTTTTACTTATTTATTTTACGGCATGATCAGTTATTCTTCAGCATGAATCTTTTATGTTAACTACATCATTTACTGGCACGTGTGAAACTATTTTAAGCAAAATGCCTGGCTGTGAGCGAGTCTGAGGAATCGATTACCTCATTAGGGTTGCCTGCCAAATAAGATCCTGATTTCAACAGTATACAGATTTCATATCCTTCAGCTATCATGCAAAAACTTTATTCCTCTTGTTAATTTAAATGATAGAGTACAGCATTATAGAAATGTTTCTCCTTAAAGGAATAAGTTATCCTAATTAATTCTGGCATCCTAACTAGCTAATTCACAGCACTGAACATACTAATATTAAATTGTCCAATTTATTTTCTGCTGTCAATAAATGGTATTGGTTTACTATCTACCAATCTAAACTCTTCATTATATTTGAATGTTTATCTTGCCATTCACTGATCACCAGGAAGAGCTGGTGGGCAGCAATTTCTGCCACTGCACCTCAGTTCAAACTATCAAGATTTGATGTGAATTTTTTTTTGCTCCTTCTAATAACAAAAATCTGTTCGATTGGCACTAGGCATTAAAAGAGCTGGTAGATTAGTTTTATTTCCTGCTTAGGAAATATTTTTAACTGATAGCGAAAAGCCATAAAGCAGCATTCCTTGCTGTACACCCCCACACGGTGTATATTCTTCATTCTGTTTGCTTAATTTAAACTTATGGGCTTTGGAAGGGCTACAGTGGCTGCATTCCCAGTTTGCATTACGAGCTGTTAGGGGAACCCGAAGCAGAATTGCCATGTTTGTTGCCATATTCATTTTAAGGTGAGGGATTTCTGCTGTGCATATTTATAAAGATGGAAGGTAGATCATCCAAAGCATACTGATTTCCTACTCAATTTGAATGATTTATGTGGCTCTTGGAGCTTAATTCGCGAGTTTAGCTCAGTTTTCATTCTCAGATCATTCTTGCAAAGATGCATTTTGGACCTTATATTCAGATGGGAAAACAAAGCAGACGGAAGCTAAACAATTTGCTTAAGGCCACCGAGGATGTCTGTGGTGCAGCAGGGATTGGATTGACCCTTGCCATGAAATAAAAGCTCTGTTCTCTAAATATGGTAGCATGAAAAAACTTTTTGGTGAATTACAAATATGTCAATCCTGCTTTCCTCAGCTTTTGGGAATCAAGGCCTGTTCCAAATGCATGATAAGAATACAGCATGTTGCTCTGTGGTGCCACTGCCAAATAGATGGGAATTTAAAGCAGAAGGGCTCATAGCAGTTGCATTTTTTATAGCTGTCTCTTGCTAAATGTCTTGTAAAATGACCTGATTCTCTCTGGTATTACTGTACTAACTGTTTTAATTTTGTTTTTAGTGATACATTTAGGGTGAAAAAATCACCAAAAAGATCCCCATTATCTGATCCTCCTTCTCAGGTAAAGTACTGCATTGGTTTAATGCCTGTAATTTGTGGTCTTGTTGGAGTAAATAAGAGAAATTTGATAAATGACACTGTGGAGGACTTTTAGTAATATGGGCATCTCAGGTGCAATGCATTGGGCTGTAATCACAGCATATAAAAATTTTAGTGTCTAAAATATATTCATTGTCTATTAAAACTAGTATTTGCTCTGAGAAGTCTAAAGACTATTAGTGCATATGTTTTGGAAAGACCTCATTACAATGGAAAGGCCATATGACTAAGTATCTTCAAGATAGTTATTATTCTCAAAAATTAATCTGAAAATTTTACATTAAGAAGTAATAAACTAAGTGCATAGAGTTGGCAAGCTGGAAGGAAAATGGAAACCAAGTGGGTTGATCTGCCAGGAACGTGTACTTGAATGGTTTTACTCCTTGCTGCAAACCTCTGGTCAGTAGTTTTCTTGGAAGAAGAGTTAACAAAAGCTGTTCTGTGTGTAAATGCATAACTACTTTGATGTGGTGCAATTCTTTTCATGCTGTTCATCTTCACACTATAAACTTGCCTCTATTTATGCTGATGGACAGCCCAGAAGTGTCTTGATAAAGAATTGCTGACCTCAGAGCCCTATGAAGGTTTGCTGCTACAAGGGAAGTTTAAAAACCCGTTTCACTAGTCAAAGCCTCTGCCGTGGATGTGTGCCACTTATGTCAAGTGCACGCAGATTTAAATGACTGGATTTTCTTTCTTCCTCCTTATCAGAGCAGCTTTGCACTATGAGTATTTAGCATCAAAGAGTTTAGTTATACTAGGAAAACTTAGCACGGTAGAGTAAATGCTTTCGGCGTGAAGAGCTTTCCTCTTTCTCTTTCATTCCCTAATTTATGTAGAACTGCAGTGAAGAGCATGGAATTAAAAAGGTAACTGGAGTCAGGCAGAAGAAATCACAAGCTGACTCCTCGTCGTGTTAATAAGGATAACAGAGTTGTAATAGGGCCTTGTTTTGTGCAGGATCCCACTCCACTGCCAACTCCAGAAACGCCTCCCGTCATAGCCACGGTGGTTCACGCGACGGATGAGGAGAAACTGGCATCTTCAGTGACCGGTCAGAAATGGACCTGCATGACCGTGGACCTGAACACGGATAAGCAGGATTACCCGCAACCCTCTGATCTGTCTACATTCGTTAATGAGACTAAATTCAGCTCTCCCACAGAGGGTATGCTTTACAAACGACTGGATCCAGCTCGTGGTTTCTTTATTGGCCAAGAATTTTCAGTTTGGTCCGGGATGTTGGCCTGTGTACTGAAAGTCTCAGGTTAAAAACATATTCCCTAGGTTAAAACTTTTCCTCACAGTTTGTGTAAAGACGCCTAACACGCTATCTCCCCTTCACACGTTTGGGATCCAGGTGTCTTTGTGCATAAAAAATGCCCAGGATTTCTCTCGTGTAATTGTTCACATATAATCGTCTTCTGTGTCTGCTTACTCCATGTCTGCTTAATAACATTTTTCCTCTAGCACCTTCCTGAAAGTAGTTGCAACCTAAAGCTGGAAATCTGAATTTTCTATTAGCAGAAACTGTTGTTCCAGGTCTGTGAAACATGGAAGGGAGAGAATAGATCCACTTGAACATGTTCATCACCCTCATTGGGAATAATGCAAGAAACAGTGCTTTGCAAGGTCTACTCTAAGGGCTTATTTTCAACTATGTGGGTGGGAGGATTATATGAGTTGAACTTAGCTTTACATTTTTTCTTCTTGTTCAGACTTATTTTTTTCCGTCACCTTTTGACCCATATCCCAGGCTACCACTAAAGCAATGTGAGATCATTTTAGACAGGATCTCTAAGGAGTTTTTGCCTGATTAAGAACTGCAACGGTTTTAGTCCAGATGTGTTTAACATTAAAACATGAATAGTCACACTGTTTTCAGTGGGACTGCACATGTTCATATGCACATGCCAGGCTGCAGATCCTGGGCTTTTTGGAAGTCTCCCATTTAGATAAGTAGTTAAGTCTGGATAATCCATTTGATTTTATTTGTCAAATTATAATTTGGATTTGGTTCCGTTTTGAACAACGGGTTCACCTCAGGTTCCTTTTTTTTTTTTTT